TAGACACACCTAATGTAAATACACATAAAAAGTATAATTTTTGTGAATTTTTTTTTTTAAAAATTTACTAAATACCAAAAATACAAAAAAATATTGGAATTCAATATATTTTTCGTATTTTTATGTATTCATTAATTTTTTAAAAATCGTCAATTAGTCCAGTCACCAGCCTTTACTCTTCAACCAGTAAATATTAAGCCACTATTAGAAGTAACCAATTTTAAGTTAAGATCTTCTAAACAGGACAATGAATTCATGGATACCCTTTTGAAAAAAATGACTGATTGGAATTTAGGGAAATCAACACTAGGAAGCAGTTCTATAAATATGTTATCCACTCCTAAAGCTCCAGAATTATATCCGGAGGATGAAGAAATTACTCCTTCATTAATTTATGAACTCCAGAATAATTTTCAAGATATGCAATCTGTTAACAAAATCAATTTTCCAAAACAAACCGGTAGGACGGCCTTACAAGGCGCTAGTAGGTATTATTATCATAGACGTACACCACATGATATTCTTTATGAAGAAGATTTCTTTCATGGCCAGAACTCTTATCATGGAAAAACTATTTATGAATGGAATATATATGGTTATTCTAAATACTAGATACTTGAATGTATACATCATATCATTATGTATGCCACTATTTGTAAATAGAATAATAATTTTGACCATCAGATAGTTAGATTCATTATTAATGGATTTTCAGACATCCTTAAGGGACGGTGGGATAATGTTCTCACTTCCGCTCAACAGAATGAGGTGTTGAATGCCATCAAAACCGAAACAAACCGTATTAGTAATACTCCTACTCAACGAGAGGATGCAGTTTATACTTCAATCCAGACAATTCTTTATCATTTTATTGGGAGCAATACAGTTAATGATGATCGTAGCCATGAATTACTTCAGAACCTTAGATGCCCATCTTTAACTCATTTTCGATGGAACAAAGATGTGTTTTTATTAAAAGTTATGTAGAGACCTGATGCTAACAGTAGCCATTGGAAAGCCAAATTTATTGATGGCCTTCCTAATCTTTTTTTAGAAAAAGTTCGGAAAAAACTTTGAGATCGCCATGATCGCATGTCCATTCCTTATGACCAGTACACCTATGGCCAACTCATAGGCCTCGTCATAGAAGAAGGTCTTTCTTTGTGCAATGACCTTAAACTTCAATACCAGATGAAAAAACAGAATCTTACTGGCAATAAAGAATTAGGTGAATTTTGTGATCAGTTTGCTTATAAGACACTTGTACCTTATAAATCATTGATAGACGTGCTTAGCCTAGTCCCTTGTTTTAAGCACTTAGTTGGGCTTCTCTTAAAATTTTGTTTAAGATAACATAATATGGTGTTTATAAGAGATGTGTCAACCATCTTTGTCTTGATCAATGTTTTGCGTTACTGTGCAACTAATTCTGTTTGAAATCGTTCCTATATAATTGTGATAGGATTTGAGCTGCAATGGTGTAATGGTTGACACATTGCACAGCCAGAGACTTGAAGCTTGGGAAAAGATAGGACCTGAGTGAGTGTAAATAATTGCAACACAAGTTCTGAACTTACCTGGTTAAAAGCAAATCTGTAGGCAATGGGAAAAAGTGAGAATCTTTATTAAAAAAAAATCTCTAAATCCCAGAAAAGATATATAAATAAAATAAAATAAAATGAAGGCACATCATTGTCTTGAGGTAAGTCAGTTACCACCAGCCTTCGAACTCGGACTCGAACTCGCAAGGTAGCACCACCGCTGTGTATCATCACCGTCGCCATTGATCACCATCAATCTCTAAACTCGCAAGGTATTTTACTCGTAAGGTATTTTACATTCAGCTCTTATCATTGAGTGTATGAATTGGTTGTAAATGAACTGGTTGTGGTTTCTAATTTTTCCTTTCTCTATCTTGATCACTGTTTTAGGTTGAATTTCCTTCGGCTTCCTGCAATTCAACCCCCAAAACAGAGATTTTACATTGAGTATGCTTTGTTGAATAGTGGTTTGTTGGTGTTTAGCCATTTAAATTCGCTCTCTTTGTCTCTTGTCCGCACACACACGCGCGCGCGCGCACACACACACACTATATCTCTCTCTTTATATATATATATATGCATTTACATATCTGTTTTACTTAGTACAGGCCCTCCATCATTGCGATCCTTAATTAGTAATGAGAAGTAGAGTGGCAATAGGGGTGAAGAAAAGTGCTTATGTGTTGGTTTATACTGCCATGGCCATAACTTGTTTGATAGTTTGCCTATGAAAAACCTACCACAATGATCAAACACTGTTCTGCTCTGAGTTGCTGCTTCTCGATTGTCAAAATAGCACACACACTTAGTCAAAAATACATGTCCAGATTTACATTCCAAAGACACACACATATATGTGCATATGTATGTAGGCAATTTGCATTAGTTATTTATTCATTTGTAAAAAAATTATTATTTTGTCTTTTCTCAATATTATTCTCAAATTTTTATTTTTATTTTTATTTTTATTTTTGCCCCATTAAATTTCTAGTTGATGCATATTTTTTAAAAAAAAATTAAATTAATATTTTTTACATGATTAAAAAAAATTAAAAATAAATAAAGAAGTTACAAAAAAAAAAAAAAAATATCTTACCTCCTCTAAGGTTATCAACACTAATCTTAACTTTAAATGCACTAAATTTAATTTATCATATTAAACATATATAAAATTATATTTATTTTTCATAATATTTTCAATATATATATATATATAGTTTCTTGACTCTCACAAGGTTTTAAACTCTTATAGAAAAAATAAAATAAAATATAAGCATTAATGAATGTGAGAAGTTAATATAAGATTTCGTCATTCCCTATACTTATATATTTATTTTTTAATTTTTTTAATCATGTAAAAATATTAGCCTTTGTTTTTAAAATATGCATTGATTAAAAGTTTAATAACCCAAAAATAAAAATTAAAATTTGAAAATAATATATGATTGAGAAAAGATAAAATAATAATGTTTGTACATATGAATAAATAAGTAATGCAAATTATCTAAAAAAAGTAAATCCATTTATTTCAACTTTAAAAAAAATTAAATATAAATGTAATACTTAAAATGATAAATTTTAATTTATTTACGTAGTGTAGAATAAGTTTTATATTAAATTATTAGAATGTTATTTAATATTAATTTTAGAGAAATTGTGTATTTGTAAGTATTTTATCAATAAAAATTAAATTTATTTATTAAATGATTTAATAATATTTTAACAATTTAAGAGTTTTATTTAATATTGTATGGAATTTTATTAAATAATGTTAAAATATATATGGATCATTGATAATATATATATAAACCTCATGGAAGATGAGTAAAATTATTCATTTGGATAGATAAGGCGTCTAACGAGTTATTTTGTCATTATCAGTATGGCATCAACGTGATATTAGTAAATTCTGTTAAATAGTCTAACGGAGGGTAACAGCGGGAGAATTTTGATAATAATTTCAAAAGTAAAAGAGATTAATGTAATTATTAAAACTATAAGAAAGATTCCTATAATTGTCAAAAATCTCAAGAGAGGTAAGTATAATTTAGCCAAAAGAATTTAATTTTTGAAATTTTAGAACTGCCAATTAACAGTAAGGATATTGATAATTTGACCAAAATAGACAAAGACAAATATTGAGCTATTACCTAAAAATATAATCAGTGTGTTTAGTTTTAGTTTTTTGGATTGAATTTTTTGAAAATTAAATTTTTTATTTTTCGTGTATTTTGTTTTTCAGTGAATATTTTTAAAATTTTTAGTAATTTTTTATTTTTATTTTTAGATGCACCATACTTAGATGTATCTAAATAGTAAAATATTTGTGAAAAAATATTTGAAAATATTAATAAATATATAAAAATAAAAAATATATATTGAATTTATGTATATATATATTTATAGTTTTGGTATTTAGTGAATTTATTAAAGATTTTTTTCATAAATATTATATTTTTTAAGTATATTTATGTTAAGTGTATTTAAAAATTAAAAAAATTATTTAAAATATTTGTCGAGATATGGTGCGATAATACTGGAATCTAAGATATTTGGATAGAAGACTAGAGAACTAGATGACATCAAACTATCTATTTGGATAGATGACTAGAGTTCTAGATTGGGAGAGGACTTCAGTTTTGATAAAGATAAGACTCTTAGAGAGTTTATTCCAATCCTACTGGGAGTCCAAGATTACCAGTAATCCAGAGTCCATTGAAGCAAGGCTTCTATTGGGACTAGGTTTGTGTTGGCTATAAAAGGGAGGTGTCCTCATGGGTCTAAGGTATGCTTTTTATGTTCTGTCTAGTGAGTTAAGCACTATTGGTTATTTTTGAGAGATATTTTACTAACTTGATCGTCGGAGTACCCCTAGATGGACGAACCACCGCGAGATTCTTATATTTCTATGACAGGTTGTTTGGGTTTAATCTATTCTGTCGGTACTCTCCAACTGAGTTCCCCTTTTTGGTTGTGTGGTCGGAAATCAACACCCACAATTAGGTTAAAGGCCTCCTAGTTTGAGTGACATTGGTTTTATTAACCACAGGGTGGTTAGCTTAGCGGTGACGATTGAGATTTAGAAGTTTGCTCCTTTCCTAAGTCTCAAGTTCGAAGTCTTGTTCCGGAAGGCTTGTTCAGACTCTAAGAACTAAGGTCTTGTTTGGCATAACCTATATAATCCATTTTTTTATCTTTTTATCTTTTTTCCATCACATCACCTCTCTACTTTTCTGCACATCTTTTCGTAAAAAGACAAAAAATACAATTTTTTAGGACACCCCAAACCAACCCTAAAAATATAGAATAAAAAATATTCAAACCAAGCGCACATTGACCCTTCTAAATTAATTAATAATTTTTCGTTTCAAGAGGATTCCCAACGAGTGACGTCCATAAAAATAAAAACACCTTCTCGCCCATTCTTGAAACGTGTTCCGCACTGTTAAATCATCATCCAACAGCCCACACATAACTTCAGCTCTAAGTCACGCCACGCGTCACTCATCGTTCCCACCTCTCCACAGATCCAATTTCCAAACACAAGCAGCCGATCCCAGCCTCCATATCACCACCACAAGCACCGCCTTCATGTCCACCTCCGGCCACCCCTCCATACATATAACTATATATCTGCATAGGCATATGGATAGGTCACGGCTTTAATAGGATTAGCAATTGAGGCTGAGTTGAGATTATTTAAAGAGTTTCATTTTCAATAATCTCTCTCTCTCTCTCTCTCTCTCTCTCTCTCTACATCGACTCGTATATATATATATACGTCGATGTTGAGGCGTAGAAAGGGCTCTGAACCAAAGAAAGCTTCGAATTGGGAGCCTGAGGATGAGAAGAGAGAGGAAGAGGGGGATGAGAAGTCAAAGAAGAGTAAAGTTGAGGTAGAGAGAGGGAGAAAATTGAAGAAGAAATGGAGTTGCTTGGATAGTTGTTGTTGGTTCATAGGGTTTATATGCTCTGTTTGGTGGTTTTTGCTGTTTTTGTACAATGCGATGCCTGCTTCGTTCCCTCAGTACGTGACGGAGGCGATCACGGGGCCTTTGCCTGATCCGCCGGGGCTGAAGTTGCTGAAAGAAGGTTTAACGGCCAAGCACCCTGTCGTCTTTGTCCCCGGCATCGTCACCGGCGGCTTGGAGCTCTGGGAAGGCCACCAATGTGCCGAAGGTTTGTTCAGGAAGAGGCTTTGGGGTGGCACATTTGGGGAAGTCTATAAAAGGTATCAATTTTATTGCTTTTTATTATAGATATGATATAATTGTGGCTTCTATTAGTCTAATTTGATTTTTTTAATTTGTTTTAATTGTATGCTTAATGAGTTGCTTTTGTGTTTGCTATGTGGATTGATTAATTGTCTACTTGAATTTCATTGGTAAAGGTTATTATATGTGAGAAAAAAAGAAAAAGAAAAAAAAAAATAGTGTGCTTAATTGTAATGAAATGGTTTTAAGGCTGCAAAAGTTGTTTTTGTTTCTTTTTGCGAGCCTGTTGGGTGCAGCTTAGAGTCTGTGCTACACTTGTATAACATATTAGGCAGAAATAGCTTTAAAAAAAAAGAAGCTAATTCATGGAAACTGGGTGACAGTTGCTTTTGGATTATCTGCATCTAGCTTACAATAAGTTGCACCAAACACCGCCGTCGTTTGAGTGAAAGATAAGTTCCAAGCGTCTATTCTTTTCCTTTTTGTGGGCTGCAGATAGAAATTGTGATAAATTATTGAACTACAGAAGTCTATCTGTAGACTATAGGACTTAATAAACTGTTGGTGTTTTGATAGTTTTGTTAAAGTTGTATAAGTGGGTACAAGTGGGTATAAGTGGTTGATGACTTTTGAAATCCACTCTTTCTTGAGTTAGTAGTAGAACCTAAAAACTGGGGAAGTGTTGCTTGCTAATTCAAACATGTGTCACAAATTGACGTGCTTTGCTTTATGTTGGACAACAATTTGTTTCGTGCTCTGCATCTTTAAGGTTATTCAGTGATTGTGCAGGAAATAAATGGTAACAAATGATGAAGGAAAAAAACTGAGATAAGGGCAGGCGATCATGTCAATGAAAAAGGTTATCTAACTGTCTCTCTTTCTCTAGGAAGAGGCCAAGGCTGCCACTGCGCTCAAGTCCATATTGAATAGACCTTGTAAAATATCAATGGATGTTGAGGTCCAAACTTTGAACTGAAAATGTTTATTTGTTTCTTTATAGTGGAAGATCCTCAAGTATATGAATCCTTGTTGGAGGGAAATGAAGAAGGTTTCAATGAAACATCATAGTTTGTCAGGCTTCAATTTATTTATTTGCTAATATAATAGACAGGTAATGTTGTTAGCAAAATGAGGTCCAGCTAGCAGTGACAACTGAATCTGCTGACTGATTTAACACATGTTGATGCTATACCTTAGCATAAAGGTCTTGACCTGGCATGATGACAAGGGTTGTCTGCCTTGTGACAGGGTTCAATTGACAGGAATCACACTCCACAAAAAAGTTGGGGTGATGTTGCCAACCCACTCAGTCTCCCATATCTTGTTGTAAATAGAGCCTTGTGCACTAGGTATGACCTTTATGCTATACCCCAGTGTAGGATAATTTATAAGATGATAATTAAGTGCTAATTGGAAGGTTTAATGGTTGTGACTATAGTTTAATGAAATGAGGCACTAGGTCTCTATCTTTGTAGCGTATCAAGGTTTTCATTGTGAGTTGGTGCAGAAATCTGTAGTTCACTCCTACAAGCTTGTGCTTCCAAGCATTTTTCATCTGCTTGCTGCTGGCATGCTTTGTGCAGTTTTACAATGGGATTTCCTGAACCCATAGAAGCATGATTAAAGACTACTCTTTGTGATTTAAGAGTGCTTTGAATTAGGTTTTTTAACAGCACATGTGGAGCTTGCCTGCCAGGGGAACTTATGACCAAATATTTTGTTTTTATAAAGATTAACACTATGTTTGGATTGAGTGACTTGGAGAGAAAAGAAAAGAAATTTAGTGATATGTATTTCTCTTATTTGTTTGGATAACCTAAGTAGAGAGAAATGAGAAGAAATGGGAAGAAATGGAGAGAAACTCATTTCTCTTATGAGCCTCATTTTCAATCTTCCCAAAAGTGGAGAGATTGGGAGAGAAAAGAAACAACTATTTTCATAATACCTATTTTGTCTCTATAAAAATAAAAGAAATAAAATGATTGAAAATATAAAAAGGTTATTTTGGTAATATAACATAAAATAATTTCTTTTCTTTTCTCTTAATGAAACCTAACCAAACAAGAATGAGAGAAATCACAATCATTTCTTTTCTTTTATTTCTTCCTTATCCAAACAAAAAGGAGAGAAATCACAATCATTTCTTTTCTTTTCTTTTCTCTTATTACTTAAGTAATCATTTCTTTTCTTTTCTCTCCTAGGTTCCCAAACATAGTGTAAGATCTTGTCTGATAAATATGCATAACACATACTTGTGCTCTTTGATATGTTCTCTGTTGAGCAGGTGTTAGTTTGAGTTCTTGTTACATATTTTGTTAGCTTGACTTCTGATGATTATAATTTCCATTGCTTCAGTGACATCAGATTTTTGTTACCTTCGCAGAGTTTCACTGTGTTAACTTTTTCATGGCAATGATGTTGCTGGAACCGTGGAATTGACTAGTAGAATGGTTTTTCCTCCTTTGTGCTATTTTCTGCAGACCCTTATGCTGGGTTGAACATATGTCACTGGATAATGAAACTGGATTGGACCCTTCTGGTGTAAGAATTAGGCCTGTATCCGGTCTTGTGGCAGCTGATTACTTTGCACCGGGTTATTTTGTGTGGGCAGTTCTAATTGCAAACTTGGCACGCATAGGATATGAGGAGAAAAACATGTATATGGCTGCATACGATTGGAGGATCTCATTTCAGAATACTGAGGTATTTTTGAGATATACTTCTTTTACCTTGCAAATATCTGTATAAAACATTTTCAACAGAGAGACTTGGATCAGCTTGCATGTAGTGTGAGAATTGCTATTATTATCCCTCTCAGCATCTTTTGGTTTACCAACTTTCTTGCCTGCCAAGTTGGTCATGTATGAGTGAGTAGCTATCACATCCAAACAGTCCTATTTCTTTTAGTAAAAAACTGGAACTCCAACATGGAGTGTGAACTGGATGGGGGCAACTCTTAACTCTGGTAAAATTGATATATGGCTTGTGTGTGGATTGGAAGTGCTTATTAATCTAAAGGTAGGCTTGTATGACTTGTATAAAAAATTAGTGAGGGGTGTAAAGTTAGTATTGTTAGATCAGAGTTAAGTTAATATTGTCTGTTTAATTACTCTCTTACATCTAATAAATATTCTGCTAAATTGAATTGATCAGGTACGTGACCAAAGTCTTAGCAGGATTAAAAGTAATATAGAACTCATGGTTGCGACCAGTGGTGGGAGAAAGGTGGTTGTAATTCCACATTCAATGGGTGTTCTGTACTTCTTGCATTTTATGAAATGGGTTGAAGCACCAGCTCCAATGGGTGGTGGGGGTGGATCAGGTTGGTGTGATAAACATATAAAGGCGGTAATGAATATTGGTGGACCATTTTTAGGCGTTCCAAAAGCAGTCTCTGGATTATTCTCTGCTGAAGCAAAGGATATAGCTGTTGCCAGGTTTGTCATTGCTTGCCTCTTTCTCTCCGCAAATTTTACCTTGTGAAACAAGGCCTACTTATTATTTAGGGCAAATAGTGAGATAATTTTGATTTTGTTTTCTGCTTGTTTACTTGAGATAAGCTATGCAAACAACTTAGATCTATTGTGATTAAATTCACTCCATTATGAGTGAAGCTAAAGCTGTCAATCCAATCTCTGCCCTCTGGTCTGTCATTGTGTCCTTTCCTCCTCAAGTAGATTATCTTACTCCCTAGAAAAAGAATGAAGAAAAGAGTTACCAAAATTCAAATGGGGGCTTTGTTTTATTCAAAGGGAAGAGCTATTGATTTGCTCTATTAATTTGTTTGATTGTACTCTGTAGAGTCTGTACTGGTATTATTAGTAAGAGAATCTTTCATGCTACAATATTCTAGTCAATAATACAATGGCTCAGATGTATTGCTTGGGGTATGGTTTATATATTGCTTACTATCAAGTTTGATAAAGATGAAAAGTTCTAAATTAGTTGGTGATCTTAGTATTGTTCTGGTTTCAAAATCAGTAAAACATAATCTGCTGGAATATGCCAAGAATTGTGTGTCTTGAGAACTTTGAGAAGAGAACAGGAAAAAAAAGACGAAACTATTCTATCATTTCTTAGGAGGCTTTATGTATAGAATCACTCTTTGAGGAAGTGAGGTGACATACAATTCTTTTATGATCTGTTATGGTGGTGATTCCACTCTGTAGCTTGAGTTGTGTTTTAAAGTGCTAAAAAAACAAAGAAGGGTGCTTATTAAAAAATATAAGAAATGTTGAAAATTTGATATACTATAGGAGATACTGAAGTTCAGATATGTTATGTTATTGTCTAAGATAATTACTTACCTGAATGGACATTTAGAAAAGAAACCCATGCATCTACAAAAATTTGCTGAGGAGAACAAATTAAATATGGTTTTTGTTGTGAAAATTGTTGTAATTGTCTTTAGTTTTAGTTTTTGTTATTATTCATTAAGGTTTTTTACAAGCACAACCAAAACCAAATGTTACAAATGTACATTTTGAGTTACTAATATGTGTAAATCCTTGTCCTTATTATGCTAAATATGTTTTTGAAATTGTGGTGGCGGATACATTTGTGTGTGGGGGGAGGTGAATAGGTCAAACACTCAATCAAATTACCAATTAAAATTTATCAAGTCAATTATCTAATCTAATTAATTAGTTTCAGTCTATCAATCAATTATATCTTAACTATCTACACATTATCGCAATAATTAAATAAACTAGACTAACACATCAACATATGTGAAAAATCCTTGGGAACAATAATCCCTTTTGATAAAAAAGCACAGGCCATCTTATCTGTTGTAACAATGAACTACATATGAGTTTAAATATAGACTCAAGTAAAAGGACTTACAAACCAGCATTTAGTCTTGATGTCTTCCCTTCAAGTTCCGAAGCTCAAACTCCACTGTCATCCTTCTCTGGGTAGAGCAATCGGTCAATTGAATAGTGTAACCATTGCATTGAGGGTGATCTAAGTGCTTACAGAGTATGTGATTTTTTTATTTTTTATTTTATCAAACCACTCAATCAAGAAACTATTTGTATGGTGTAATAATGCATGGAACTCAGTTTCAAATATTGAGAAATATGAGTTTCAAAAACCTTTTGAAAACTTATGAATGAACAATATTTTTCTCTCAAAAGATAATAGATTCCGTGTGTATCTCTAATAGAAAACCTAATCTAAGTATTTATAGGTTATTTAAAATAAGAAACTAATTTGGACTGAAATCTGTATGCATGCTCAAGTAGGCTTCGAGCACTGCTCCCAATATCTCTTTTGTCTTCAGGCTGCAGTGAGCTTCTGGTGAAGCTCTTTGAAATTCTGCATGAGGGCCTCCTGCTTAAACGTTGGTTGTACCACTCAAGCGCCTTTGTTTAGCAGTTCATAATGTACTCTACATGTCCTGATTTTTCCCTTTTGCATGCTTTTCCCTTTACTTAAGGTAGTGCATGTAAATAACAAAATACTCCCTTGATGGCAAGTATGGAAAGAAGAAATTTGAAATTTCACATGAAGCATGTTTAGGGCATCAAGGATTGAATTTTTGGAATTATTTTGAGTCTTTATTTTTATTTTTTTTTTTTTTTTTTTGATCGACAAATGTTAGTTGTTAGTTGCTAGCACCTATGAAAGAAAATCTCCCCACCCATGGCAAAGCACCTAAATGCTTGCACTCCCTTCATTCAACCCCCTAAGGGGAATTGAACCCATGACCTCCTTGGGACTAAGCCCTAAGGAAGGCATGATGGCCAACTAAGCTAGGCCTAGTTGGTTAGTCTTTATTTGTATTTATTCCAAGTTATTAAGCTACTTGTAGTAAGTTTTAGAAGTTAGGGGCATTATGTAGTTTAATAATTGTTGGACATGAGTAGTGGTCATAGTTTATGGGTCATCTTGCTGGTGTAGTAATGTTATTTGAATCTTATTTGAAATCCTAGTTAGTCTAGAATATTATTAGTTGTCAAATATTCTTAGTTTCTAAATTTGAGTCCTAGTCCTTGTAGAATTAGCAGAGCCTTTAGCCTATAAATATGTGTAATCTCAATTATTCAGTGAACTTAATATTATGAGAATTTGAGATTGCGTTTGTGTGTGATTGGCCTAACCCTTGTGAGGATGAATCACCTCTTTCTCTCTTCTTCTCCTCCTCTTTGTGCACATACTCTAGTTATTATTCTCGGCTTACTATTCACAGCCCTCTAAAAGTGCACTTTTCAGCTCCAAAACCCTATCCTATTCCTATCACGCTCAAACTGGTCCTAATCCCTTCTCCTACCTATTAGCCTTCAATTTAACCATTTAAACCCTAAATTACTCACTATTTGGGCCCTTAAATAGCATATTTAAATTTTAAAAAAAATAAAATAAATCCAGCAAGCTATTCTAGATTACCCTTATTTGCACAAGGCTTTCTTTTATAGTTGGGTTTGGTACAGGTAGAGGTAGGCAGCTTTAACCTAGAGAGGGAGATTCCTGTGACTTGACCTGGCAACCACAAGGCTAAGGGTGGATAACACTTGCTATCATGCTAGGCCACAACTTCTAAAATATCAAAATTAATGAAATTCTAAATAAATAAAATGTGAACTCCCCCTTAATCCGAAATTTTTAGAATTGGCTAAAATACTGCATTCTCCAAAATAAGTTGCTTACTCTAACCTAAGATGTTCTAGATCCCATTTTTGGCTCCAATTACAAATATGCAAAAAAAATTTGGTCCTAGGATCTTTGTATTTAGGTGTTTTGATGTTTTGTTCAATCACAACTCTTAGAAACTGTGTCAAAATTTGACTAAACTAATGCAATTCACTCGTACAATTATATGCAAGATTAGATTGGAACGCACATCACATTGTCTTTGAAAGCCTTTAAACTTCAATACTCAGACCTATACACCTAACCTAGACACATAACACATTATGTTTACTGAAACTGCCAACACACAAATCCTATAACAGTTTTTATTCTATTTTTTTGGCTCATAATGAAATTATAATCCTTCTGCAGGGCTATTGCACCAGGTGTTTTGGATATGGATGTATTTGGTTTGCAAACTTTGCAGCATGTGATGCGGATGACACGTACATGGGATTCAACCATGTCAATGATTCCGAAAGGTGGAGACACTATCTGGGGTGGCCTTGATTGGTCACCTGAGGAAGGCTATGAGTGTACTGCCAAGAAAATGAAGAACAATGACACTCAGACAGTGGGCCAAAATGGAAAAGGGAGTTTAATTAATACCACACATGTGCATTATGGGAGAATAATATCATTTGGGAAGGATGTAGCTGAGGCGCAATCATCAGAAATTGAGAGGATGGATTTCAGGGTAATGTTACAAGTTCCAAATTAGTTAGATACTTTTCTGTCAACTGAATCTCTTAATTTTAATTTATTTGATGAATTGATTTTGTTGCTCTTTTAGGAAAAATTAGAACATAAAATAATAAGATGATCAGTAACTGATGTAGGGAATGGTATATGGAATGCACAAAGCAACAAGAATAACCACGAATAATGATAACTTATTAATCAACTCAAAACTCAACCAGCGATAAGGCTTAAAGTTACAACCCTATTTATAATAATAGAAATTTATCGACTCCAGGAATAGAAAACCATCATAAGTCTTATGCACCAAGTAATCCTAATTCTTGTAGACCAAGAAACAAACAAAATATTAGGCTTTTTTATACTAAATCAAAATATTTGTAATCAAATACTAATTCTATAATATTAAAATGGAGCCGCTCTTTTCACTCTGCTTTGCTCAAAATACACTCCTTCTTTGTCCTTATTATACATAGTTACTATTCCCACTCAACTTTGCTCAAAATGCTCTCCCTTCTATGCATCAAGGACAAAGAAAGGAGTCTATTTGGAGCAAAGTAGAGTGGGAATAGCAGCTCCCTATTAAAAATATAAATATAAGATTTCAAAATCATGCTTGCATTTTTCTCCTCAGTTTGGAAAAAACTCATCATCGAGTTTCAATTACTGGAAATAATTTGTCATGTCTGCACTTGTTTACATCAACCTTGTATTTAAGATTAATTTTCTCAAACCTCAATTTCAAAGCATCACCTTCCAAAATTAAATGGATAATTTTCTTCAATAAATATGCACCGACTTCTCCTTTAACAAGTTTTGATTTTTTTTATTTATTATTATCTAGTATCGATGTTTTGTCCTCTTTGTAAAACATGAGAAACTGATGAAGATCATGGAAAGAAGAAAAAGAGCAAATATGTAATTTCACATGAAACACATTTAGGGCATCAAGAATTAAAAAATTAGAATTATTTTGAGTCTTTATATCATTATAGTAGGTTTTAGTAATTAAGGGCACAATGGTAATTCCAATAATTGTAGGACATGGATTGTAGCCTTGTAGGGGGTCATCCATGTGTTTTATTTTGAATCAAGTTATTAAATGGGTTATTATATATAGGTTTTATTATGTCTAAAATAATCTTAGTAGTCAAAAGTTTAAGTTTCCTATTTTGATATTGAAGTAGAATTAGAAATCATTAAAGTTTCCTATTATGATTGAAGTATAATTGAAAGTCATAGTTGATCTAGAATATTAGTAATTGCTAAATATTTTTAATTTCCAAATTTGAGTTATAGTCCTTATAGAATTAATTAGGAGAGTCTTTAGCCTATAAATATATGTGTAATCTCAACGATTTGGGGGGAAGAGTTAATATTATGAAATTTGAGATTGTGTTTGTGTGATTGGCCTATCCCTTGTGAGGGTGAAGCATCTCTCTCTCTCTCTCTCTGGCGCGCGCGCAAGGTTATTATTCACTTCACTGTTCACAGTGCTTAGAACAGCCACCCTACATCCCCTAAACACTTGTGCTTTCATTTCCAAAATCCTACCCTTTTACAAATCCTTAAACTCTTTTATTTTTATTTTTATTTTTTTAAAATACGTTTGCCTCCCACCAAATCTAGCCCTATAAGTCTATTGTTGCTACTGCAAGTATACTTAAACCGTTCTCACTACTTGTAGGAAAGTAATCCCTACTCGTCCTACATCAGAAACAAGTCCCACATATGCATTGTAATGTCTCCACCACAGTTTTATTTCTCAATTCAATTCTGTTGATGAATTGTAAAGCACAGCATTTACGCATGAGTTGAAATCGCCATGCCTAACCTCTTCCTCCTCGGTGTTAGCATTACACAGCTTGTCCGCCTTTTGCTTGGCATCAATAAATTCCTTACTAACTTCCTCTGTTGAACTGATTTCCATGGTCTTGTTTTCTTCGATTTCAACTTGATCTCCGTAACTAAAATCACATTACCTTTATTGGCAGTGATTAAATAATCATGCTTCTCTGGGTACTCATCCAATTTCGGAGTTCAATTCTAATCAACTTATGATTGTAATAACAAAGAATTTTTATCTGAAAATATCGCAGTCATAAAAATCTTCTTCAGAATAATTTACCATTGCCATCAGCTTGATAATGAAAAGTGCATTCTCAAACATTTTTGTTAACAGGTTTTCCATTTGCATTTTCCTTAGCACGATTCCTATTAACATGTTGGTTTTAGGACTGATTGCGAGGTTAATTTGCAAAAACAATGGCACCCAACCGATCAGATAGTGCACCAATCATATACTTGAGCTGTAGAGATCAATCCTCCAATGGGGCATCCCGTGCAATGTTATCTCGCTCATACACATCTTCAACAATGGCAACTCGACCACCGTATTTCTTAGTTTCACCTCCATGTGCGATAGTTAGGATTCAAACTTGGGCTTTGATATGAACTGTTGCAGGGAATGGTGTATGGAATGAACAAATCAACAGGAATAATGACTAATAGTAATAACTTAGGGAAAAATCTTCTCCGAATTGTATTATTAATCAATTTAAAAGTCAACCAACTAGCTATAAGGCTTACAATCTTATTTATAATAGTAGTAATCCTAACAGCCCTAAGAGTATTAAGATGGAAAATAAAATATTAGGAAACTAGGCACAAGTCTTGAAAACCAAATAGTTCTAATTCTTGTAGACCAAGAAACATACAAAATAAGAAACCAAATGATTTTTGGCTATTCCATACTAAATCAAAATATTCCTAATCAAATACTAATTTTGTAATATTAAATATAGAAATATAAAACTCCAGAATGACATTTGCATTAATTAGTGTTAAGCATGAGTTGAGAAAAATCAAAGCATGGAATTACCTTATGTGTACCCTAGAAAATAGGTTCAGTGTAATCTGGATGTGCTTGCATTGAGAAAGACCTCTTTGGATTGATTTTAAGTGAATATCACAATTATCCCAAAAGCTTAAGTTGCTGCGAAATGGGTCCAATGATGTATATCAAAGACGAAGAAATCAAACAGGGTCTAAATACTAAATGCTAACGGAGACACTTGAACCCATGACTTCTCTCAACCTGAGCTTTGATACAGTGTTAAGTCACCAATTATCCCAATAGCTTAAACTACTAGGACATGGGTCCAATAATGTATATCAAGTTATCCAACAAAGCTTAGTTACTTCGAGGTTTAGTTTTATTATAATCATGGCCCCTATATTATCTGTGATTTGTTATTTTTGCTTGAAGTGGGTTCTGCAGCCAAATGTTTAAACCTTATCATCGTCAATACCTTTGTGACAATTGGATTTTTTCCTAGTTATGGCTATTTATGATACATATTATATCTTTGATTTCTGTAAAACTATTTGCAGTTAAATTACGTTTATTTATGTATGCTTCTTGGTGTATGAAGAAATCATTTTTGTTGATAGTATGTTCTCTGCCAAATAATTTTCAGTATTTTATGTATGCCATTTTGATCCTTTTGAATATATTGATCGAGCAGTAGTAGGTTCTCTCAAATTCCTTTCATTACGCTTTTGATTATATATGAATAATGTGCAAGAACAATTGTTCCCCGCCTTATGCTATTCATTTTTAGAGTGGTGAATCACTGTCCTTGTAGTGTGCGCTCTGGAGTTTGAAAACCCTGTAGTCCTGAACCATACATGGCACCGAAATCGTAAAGAGTAAGAATTTAAAATGTGCTAATAATGGCTTTTTTCTAACCCTAAGTCAACAAAGAAGTTGGAGGTGGAAGTTGCTTGGCAGTCGTGCCATGGTAGATCTTTTATTTGATCCCTTTAAAGTGAAGATTATAAAGATTCTGCACTTGATCTCCTAGTAATGGCATGAAATACTTTTCATCATATTAATAAAAGAAGGAAGTCACTTAGTTACAACATCCTTTATGTCCTGACATTTAAATTAAAAGAATAATGCTCTGAATCAGGCATTTGAAATGTTAGCATGTCTATGCCAATTTTATTTGCTGGAACTGCACAAATAACCATACAACAGGCAAACAGAGTCATTGTACTACTGCTACCTGATTTGTCCTCGCTTTAGAATAAGGCTAAGGTTTCATATGGTTCCATAAGTTTGAAAATATTTTGCTTGAGAAAATCTAAGACATATTCCAATCCCACCCACCGCTTTAGCATCTGCACAGGGGGAATCACAGATTGCCTTGTTCCTGTATGAGCTATGATATATAATGACATGTTATATGTGTACACTTTGTCAATTGCACATTGTGAATTACATTATCAAGACCTGATTGCTATTTACTTGGTGTTGGTTGATCTGTAGGGTGCTGTTAAGGGCAATAACCTTGCGAACACAACATGCCGTGATGTATGGACCGAGTACCATGATATGGGCATAGGGGGCATCAAAGCTGTTGCAGATTACAAAGTTTACACAGCTGGATCAATACTGGATCTGCTTCAGTTTGTTGCCCCAAAGATGATGAAGCGTGGCAGTGCTCATTTTTCTTACGGAATTGCTGACAATTTGGATGACAAAAAATATGAACATTACAGATATTGGTCAAATCCCTTAGAAACAAAGTGAGACTTCTCTCTCTCTCTCTCTCACGACCCCATCCTGCCCCAAACAGAATAGTAGTTGTGACCAGCCAGTAGTGACTGAATACCGAAGGCCTAGCAAGACAAGACAAGATTGAACTAACAACATTGGGGCTTAGGCGGAAACATTTGTCCATTAATTACCAAGAGTCCATTCAGAGCTTGTGCATAAGGCGCAATGAAAAAAAACAAGCATACTTCTCATTTATTTATCTTGATATTTACAAGTCGAAACAACAAAAAGAAAAGTACATCATCCATATCATGATCTTACAAAAGCCTAAATAGAAAAACAAAACTATTGACTGAACATTACAACTCCCGAAAGGACAAAATAAAAGAAAAGACTTCTAGTGCGACTCCAAAGATATTGGCATGAGTCTCCCCATAAGGACACCGGTTTAATTTCCCCTGACAAGGACGTACCCGGCTTGAACCCCTAGTAAGGTCGTACTCGATTTAACCCCCGGTAAGCATGGTTATCAGAATCCCGATCCGGATTTTACGATCCTACGATCTTACGATCCATTTGAGTACAATCGATCCGGATCGTGTAAAAAACTCCTTATAGGTAGGATCTTTCGATCCTGGTAGTGAGATCTTATAGGATCGCAGAATCCCGATCCGAATCCGATCCTATCCGATCTAATTTACAAGTCTTGTTTTGTATTGTATGATATATTTTATTGTAAATTTTATGTTTGTTGTCTAAATACCAATTTATGTGGTCAAAATAAAATAATAAAAATTAAGTAGTATTGAATCAAATAGACTAAGAAAAACAAATTAGGAAACAAACATTCAAATATTGCGGTAATTTAAAAAAATTAAATAATCGAAAAAACAAACTTAGCTTTAGTGGAGTCTAAGGAGGGTAAGATGATTACAAATTTATCTCAATTTTTGGAGAGATTATTTTTGTGACTTGAATCCGCTCCACCAGGGATGCTAACGACAAACTTTATCATTCGGTTAAGTTATTCTTTTGAGTTCTTAATCTATTTTCATATCAACTTTGTTAAATATTTTTTCTTCACTTTTTATGCATCATTATAGATTGTAAAGTATTTTGTTGTAGAATTCTTCTTCTTCATCATCTTCTTTTTTGATGAAATACAATACTTTTACTATCGAGTTTTCTATTGTATAATATTATATGTACATTTTACATGGAGTATTATATTTTTCACAATATCTTTACTTCTTTTTAATAGAATATAAGCTCATTTTGTGTATGATTTATAAGAAATATTTATTTAAATTAAATTATTATATAATCTGTCTTTATCAGTAGGATCTTACGATCCTCGATCCAATTCTACGATCCGATCCTATAAATACCTCCAACGATCCAACGTAGGATCCTGATTTTAACAACCTTGCCGGTAAGGTCGTACCAGGCTTAACCCCCGGTAGGGTCATACTCTAAAGATGTTATATTAATACATGGTACAAAAATATAGGATGTTCATTCATAACGAATCATAGCATAGCTTTTATAAAGAGAAATAAGTTTTGCACTTGAAACATAGTTTATCAAACATAGCGTTACTAAATTACTACTCACAAAGGGCTCCTTGACAAGGGTATTCTCCTTCCAAAGCTTAACCTACACAAAGCAAAAGCAAGACATTGAAGTACTTAACTTACATGCACAAATCGAACACCTAAACTTGGCTAAACGTTTTCTTAACTTTTCTTACATGTCAAGTACTATTCTAAGCTTAATTCAAGTCTCAAACAAGTGCCTAAACAATGTTAAATTGATGCAAGGAGTGTCCTAGGTGACTGAGGCTTTCAATACAAGAAAATGGGCGAAAAACAACATTTCCGCACGTGCGGAAAAGAAGGCTGCACGTGCGGGATGGCCAGGGCACGTGCTTTTATTCCAAAACTGAAAATGGGTCGGGCAAGGTTGGCCGCACATGCGGCTGTGACTCCCGCACATGCAGAAGTGGCTGATATGCACAATGTGCTTTGAGTTCAAATTTCCAACTATTTTCTCATCTTCTTCCCTTTCTTTCTAGGGTTTCAAAACACGAATTTAGGAAAACTCTTGAAAAATATAAGGAAACATGAAAATAAACTTCCTTTAAAAGCAAAATCATCAAAAACAAGATTAAAGCATATTATAACCTCCTTGGCTTCTTCTCAATTTCTTTCTAATTCTCTTCTTTCCCCTCCTTCAAAACATGAATTTTGAATATGCAAAATCATTGAAAGCTATGAGAAATCATGAGAATATAACTCCCTATGTGTCAAGAACATCGAAAATTACCTTAAGGTGGTGAAATTCTAAGCTACAAATCTAATTCTTCATCAAAACCTAACCTTCCTCATTCTCTCACTCATTTCTTCTTTATTAACTCAAATTGATCCTAACTTTTTTCTCAATCTTTTAGATGCTAGGAGGGTTTACTACAAGATTTATCTTACCTTAATTTGGTTGAAGGATGAGTTTTGATGAAGTTCTTCAAGCTTTATTCCGTTCCCTCTTCTTTCTTTTTCTCTCCCTCTCTCTTTTGCTGGTTCTAGCTCCTTGCAGATTTTCTCCCTTTGTTTGGTTTTATTGAGTTGAACAAGACAAGGATTGTAGGAGACAAAAAGGGGAGGTACTAGCTTGTGCTTGATTAATTTGTCTAATCTTACTTATTTGACTTAGTTAACCAAGGTTTATACTAATTAATCTAGGCTTAACTTAATCATGCTTTACTTAATTAATCCTAATTAAGGCTCACTAAGTATGCTTAATTACCACTAATCCCGCTTAGCAAAACAACAAATAGCATGAAATGAACAAGCACATTAGACTGAAGTCTTTAAGCTCCTCAATTAGGGCATAGGCACATCCTAACATTGTCAAATTCTAATTTAAAGTATCCCCTAACTTGAAACATGAAACACATAATTTTTCTATACTTAATATCTTCACTGAACTTCTCCTTCCCTTATGGCCCTTAACAAGTTCTAGTTCAAGCAAGCATATACCACAGAGTTTAAATGCAAGGATGACATGATATGCATTATGCATGAATGGTTGGCTGTCACTCACTCTCTCTCTCTCTCTCTCTCTCTCTTTAGAACTATGATTTTGATTGTGTTAAGTAAGGTGTTAATACATGATTTGTCTTATTAAGATTAAAGCTTTGGTAAATGCTAAAATATTCATAATTTTATAGCATTCAATTAAATAGATATCAGAATCAGAAAATGGTATTGTTTTATTAAAGTATTATTTAGGTCTGACTTTGTGGAAATATTTTTTCCTAGGGAGGGGTAGGTTAATTTGTTGAAGTATATTTGTTTGGAAAATAGTATTTTGCTGTAGATTTTGACGTTCTGTGATGTTTTTGCAGATTACCAAATGCTCCTGACATGGAGATTTTCTCCATGTATGGAGTTGGAATCCCCACTGAAAGGGCATATGTTTATAAGTTAAGTTCTGCTGCTGAGTGTTACATTCCATTTCAGATTGATACCTCAGCAGAGGGTGGACCTGGCTGCACTTGTCTAAAGGGTGGCGTTTTTTCCGTTGACGGAGACGAAACAGTTCCTGTCCTGAGTGCAGGTTTTATGTCTGCAAAAGGTTGGCGTGGAAAGACCCGATTCAATCCTTCAGGCATTGGTACTTACATAAGGGAATATAATCATGCCCCCCCAGCTAATCTTTTGGAAGGTCGGGGAACCCAGAGTGGTGCTCATGTCGATATAATGGGGAATTTTGCACTAATTGAAGATATTATTAGAGTGGCAGCGGGAGCTACAGGAGTAGACTTGGGAGGAGATCAAGTTTACTCTGAAATCTTCAAATGGTCTGAAAGGATCAACTTACAACTCTAGATCTCATTGGTGAGTTTCTAAAATGTATTGAATAATTGGAGTTCTACATTGATGAAAGTCGTTGCGTTATAGGACGATAATAATTCAACTGGAAAAATAACTGGACTAGTATTTTTTTGATATAATGTCCCTGAATAATAGGAGTAGGTTCCAGCAGCAACATTTAAAAGGCATATAGTATTTAGTGGTGAACTATCAAAATATAATATACATGTGTATAATAACTCTTGACACAAATATATATATGGAACACAACATCTTGTTTTTCCCTTATTTTGAAGCAGTTGCAATATCAACTTTCAAAAAGGTCCCTATGTATTGTTAAAATTCATCACTTCTGTAACTGCCAATCATTAATTAGATAAAATTGAAAGCTAGGAGAACCTTGAAATGAAAACTTTTCTGTGAACTTGTTTGGTGCAGCAGCATGTGTTAGTGTGTTTGGTGCAGTTTTTTATTACAGCTTATGAAGTAAAAATATGTTAAATAAATTGAAAAAAAGTTGATTATTTAGAAAGTTAGGGAGGGATGATTTCAACTTTTGCTTTTGATTATCAATTTTTAGTTTACATAACACTACACTAAATTGGTCCTCTATCTAATAACCGTCTTTTCAAATGTCTTTAGGCGTACATAAATACGTATACATTGTAGTGATTGAGCATATTGTGCCTGTAACATTGTATTTTGGGAAGTAATTTGTTTTTACGTTTGACCCACTACTTCCAATCATTCTTGTCATTTTCATGTTGTATATGATGATACACTTGCTTACTTCCACCTATCTATGCAACATTTAAAATGGCACCTTTCTCATTTGGAGTTGCGTTTTCTTACATAGATTCTTGTTCATGTGGAGCCTTGGGCGTCAAGGCACAACTGAAGGCGATGGTTTTGTGGTGTGAATTTGTGCTCAAATTCAAAACTGAGAAATCAAGGATCAACTGCTGGCAGAGGTGTCAAGATATCTGGCTGTTGTGTACTTGTATTTTAATTTTTATTGATATGGGAAGCATGAAAATTGGCATCCAATGTAACGTATCCTCTATCCAAGTCTTTCTACTTTTAGGGTGCTTAATTTCAAATTTCCCAGAAATTTTGAATATTCAATTATTTTTGTAAAGCTGTAAGTAATGAAAATTTTATGTTAAAGTTTATGCAGTGGTGGACTTATGAAGGGGCGGGTAGGGTAAGCCCTAAATAATTTTGAGTATTTATAACATATTTACTGTACAAAAATGTTTTAGAGTTCTAATTTGTGAGCTATAATGTGCATGTGGGGCTCATCTAATGTGATATTTTGGCCTTGTGTGTGTGTGTGTGTTTTTTTTTATATTTATTTATTTATTTATTTTTTATATTTTCTACCTCACTAGAGCTCTAGTTTTAGAGGGATGTGCCATTGTTGTTTACTATATTGATCATAAAGTCTAAGTAAATTTGTGTCGGGCTCCTCATAATCTGAATAACTTTCTGTTGCTTCTTAAAATCTCATCATAATTTCTCATTCATTCCAATATTTTCCAATTGCTCTTTATAAGAAGATATAACCACATTTGATATCATCCTTTCCATTCGGCATCCACATGTTTTATACTTCTTATTTGTACTATTAAAATAACTACTAATAAAAATATACATTTCGGGCAAACAAAATGAGATTATCCGCAAAAAATAAATGGGAAATCGATAAAGTATTGTTAGATGCCTTAATGCTGTGTTTGGTTGGAGTTTTTGAGGTGGGATTTGGAAAAGGAATGAGAAATGTAATCCTATTTATGTTTGGTTATAATAAAAAATATATGAGAAAAGAAAGGGAGTGAGAAATAAATAAAGAAATAGAATACCTTTTAGGACATCAATTCTATTTTATAACCAACACAACCAAACATAGTTGGGATTTGGAATTCTATTAATTCTTTCTCCTTTTCCTTTCATTTCCATTTCCCTTTCTATTTCCCTTCCCAAATCTCCCAACCAAACACAGCGTAAAGGTTATGAATATTTTTCTGGGTTATTACCACATTGTTAGTAGTATTTCTACCAAGAATAAAGCTACTTTGGGTGTGACTCACAATCCTATCCAAAACTGTTTAACATTATCGGGATTATTGACCTTAGGGATCAATGCAATTAATGCTTCATTAATTTCTCCAAGACTAACTTTCTTATTGAAACTATCTTTGATAAAATTGCCCACGGGACCAATAATATTCCAATAATTGTGATAGAAAACTGCTTGCATGCCATCTTTTCAGGAGCTTTATAAGCTTTAATGTTTTTAATGGCTCTCTAGATTTCCAAATTAGTAATAGTCGTCAAAATGCCATCGTTATCTTAGACAGTCTAGCCCCAAATGTTATTCCAGTTATCAAGGGTTGAAGTATTCTCATGCTTAAACAAATTTTCAAGGGCTGGGGCTTGCCTCCAGTCGACTGAGGGTCCAGTCTAGCTCATTGGACCTATTTTTGTATTTTTTTTTTTTGATAATTTGAACCGTTCACATTTTAGTATTTGTTGAATATATTATTCCTGTAAAAAATTATACCGATCGAATAACGGATACTATGTATTCGAATCACTTTTTTTATGAACCATTAATTTTTTGACCGTCCATTTTTTTCTAGAGAAAAGTGATCCGAATATATAGTATCCATTACCCAATCAACGTGATTTTTTATAGGAATAATTTACTCAACAAACCTTAAAATGTAAACAGTTCTAATTATCAAAAGAGACCCCAAAATAGACTCAATGGGTTGAATTAGATCGAACTATTCCAATTTAGACCGGAGACGGTCCGGACCTATTTTCAAAATAGTTAGTTAAAGTAGCTTTTAGAAATAGTTAGTTAAAGTAGCTTTTAGGCCCCTCAAGATCATAAATTCAAACACTATTCTCATCTTTTAAGACATTGATTTCAAATTTTCAAACACCATTCTCATCTTTTAAGACATTGATTTCAAATTTCTTCTTTCGGAAGAGTGGAGATATGATTTTTTTTTATATATATATATTTTTCTTTCTATCCCGCTAAGGTTATCCGTTTAGCTTTGGACTTTTGAAATCAAAGAATTTCTTCTTGAAATAAGATTAAATTGTATTGTTGAATGAGGTTTTTTTTTTTTCAAATAAAAACAAATAATGGGAGATTCGGTGACATTGACAAAGGAAATTCCTGCAAAAGTCCTTTTAACATTAGAATATAACATTTTTATCCGAACTACCTTTACACTGTGTTTGGTTGGAGAATTTGAAGAGGGATTTGGAAAGGGAAACGGAAAAGGTAGGTGAAATGTGAATAAAATATGCCTATATTTCACCTAGTTTCACACATATTTTCCCTTTCCTTTTCCAAATTTCTCTCCAAATCCTTCAACCAAATACAGCATTATAGTTAGTGTGCTGGATTCATCAAGCACGTTCAACGAAGATTTCATTTGGAAATTATTTTAAGCTTTCAAAATATGTAACTTTTAATTTACATATCTATTTTTAATGAAATTAATAATTTTGAAATCAACTTATCGAGATCTATCAAATAATATTCAAATTGACTATGAAATTCTTTAAATAAAAAATAATAATAAAAAAAGAAGTCAAATTTTTACCATCAAAATTAGCATAAATAATAAAATTTTACTTTGTTTTCACAGTAAAATTTTACTTTGATTGACTGTAAAATATACTATAAAATTTTAATTTTTAAATAGTAAAATACCATTACCGTCATTAAATGCCATACTCACAATAATTATTAATAAACAATTAAAAAAAACATAACTTTAACATAATAACATTTTACTATCATTCCATCACAGAAGGACATACTTTCACTGCGAATTTAAAAAAAAAAAAAAAAATCACACAAGAATACAATACTAGAATAAAACAAATGAACAATACCATTGGAGGTCCTACACTGCAAGCCTTTCAAATCAACAAACAAAGTTAGAACATCCCTTCTCACATCAGCTTGAGATATATATAGTGCACGACGTGAATCTCCTCAGTTTCACAAATAAATCAAAGATAGGTAGGAACACTTTTAACTATTTTCAACTAAATGAAATGTATTTATTTTAGTCTCATTTTCAACATAGTAAACTTTTGACAGATGAAGATTTTGATTTTAATATTTATTTTTTTTGTTTTTTTTCTCTTGCTCAACTGAGAATATATATATATATATATATATATATTAATATAAAAAGTGACATAGATGTATAAACAACAGAAAATCAGTGGCTTAAAAAGGTGTAGAAATAGTGGCTTAAAAGATGCAGAAAAACAGTGGCCTAAAAAAGAAATTACGAAATAGAAAAACATAACAAAAATAATAATAATAATAATAATATTGATAACAGAGTATAGAAGCTTGCAAGTTGCAAGTTCAGCCTTATGATATATTACTATACTGCACATACCCAACACACACACCCAGCACACACATGCACATGACACACGGCACACAGACAACATCTACACACACCACCAACTTTTCTCTCGCTAGATACACCCATTGCCATTCATCTCTCTCTCTCTCTCTCTCGGGAGAGGTTTTGGGTTGGAAAAAATGTAAAGACACACCAAACCAACGGGGGACTCTGGGCACCTCCTCTTTCTCTCTGCGCATGCATCTCTCTCTCCAATAGTAACAGAGTATAAGGAAAACAAAGAAGCTTGCAAGTTGCATATTGGTGTGCTTGCCCAACAACAAAACAGAGCACAACAGCCCAAAAAATCAACTTGCAAAACAGAGCATCAAACATCACAAATTTCAGGAGGTTTTCTGCTCTGCCCCAATTTCGTATGTAACCGACGATTATTTTATTACAAGTTTTGCATGAGGGACTTCAAATTTCCCAAAATAATGAGCTAGATATTTTTCATATTACAAGTTTTGTATGAGGGTTTGTCATAGCAATCTCAAACCTAAAAGGTCTATTAATAGGGTTGAGATAGTACATACCTAGGGTGAAGACGATCAAAGAGGAGTGGTTGGAGTAGTTGCAAGGCACAACTTGAATTGTTCCTTCGGAGAATAAAGCCCTTCAACTCAAAGCTTTGTCTAGACGCTCCATGGTGTTAGCCATTCCCTGTTTGTACTGGTCCAAGTTAGTTGGGCCAACCTATGGTGTACCGGTTGTTATGCCAATAGCAGCGCCGGGCAGCTAAGTTGGTATGGAAGAACTGCTGTGCCACGTGTATATATATATAATATAGAAATAAATAAATAAAATATTCAAAACAACTTGAGACCGTTTGAATAAAATAGTTTTAAGATTATGGTAGAACTGCCGTGCCACATGTATATATATATATATATATATATATATAATATAGAAATAAATAAATAAATAAAATATTCAAAACAATTTGAGACTGGTTGAATAAAATAATTTTAAGATTCCGAATCCTGACAGCTAGTTGGTTTATGGACGTTAGGAATTAGTTTAAACTTTTGAAATCCTAGTAGTGTCTATAAAAGATAGAGCAAGGATCTTCTAAAGTGATTTTTCCCTAAAGTTTTCTAGAGTGCTACATTGTGTGGTTGAGATTTACTGGCAAGTCACATCAGAAAAATTGATGTGACTTGCCAGTAAATCTCAACCACACAATGTGGCACTCTAGGAAACTTTAGAAAAATTTCACTCTAGAGGATCCTTGGTGTAAAAGATAGACGCACCTTTTCCTTGGTTGGTGTCTATTCGAGTTCCATTTATGGAACTTTCTTCAACAGCCCATAGATACTAGTATTTTCCATTTTTGCTTTTGATTTTCTAGGTTAAGGTTCTAATTTAGAAAATAGTTAAGGAATATAGCCTTAGTTTTGTTTTCTGAAATAAGGCATTGTATAGCAATCCCGGTTGTCCCTTTACTGCTCTGTTGTATTCCGGACTCGGTTCCGTGAAGTTGGTAGTTGTATCTGTCTTGTTGTCGTCTTTTAAATCCGCTTGATTGAGTTTTAGGATGTTTTGGGCAGGGTTGTTACAGGTTGGTTAGGCCTTGGTTTCAATTCCTTGTTGCCCAGTTTTTAGGCGGTCCGCTCGAGCGGGTCTTATTACGCTCGAGCAGGGATTGCACAACCCCAGTATTTTCGTGTCCCTGCAAAACTTCTGCATGTGTGATTTTTACACTCGAGCGGGTTTCTCTA